CCCCCCCCCCCCCCCCCCGACAGCCTTACCCAGTTAATTTTGACCAACAGTATTTTTCTGCTCCATTACCCCTTCCATCCTGCCTCTCAAGTGTAATTAAACCATGCAGTTCAGCAAATGGATTGTACCTGTAAAAGCACCAGGACCACAAAGTACTACCTGGGGACAGCTAATGGTAAGCATTCTTTTTTTCTTCTTACAAAAATTATATTTTTCTTAGAGTTGAAGTTTGGGATTGCAAACATTTCTTTCTCAGTTATCCCCCTTGGATGAGCTAATAAGAGAAAGTAAACTCTTAAAAGCAAATAAAACCTTACTCTTCAAAGGTCTGGAGCCCTTACATACATAAGGATTTTGTGTCAATACTCACTGTGTTTTTTCCCAGAGATATGAGATAATTTTCTGATCATCTGAGCTTTTGCTGCCATCCAGGGTTGTGCTATCCATGGGAAGAGTCAGCTCTTTATCTGGACCTGCATCTGCCTGTGGAGGCTTGTTGTTTTCTAGAAGACAAGAGACTTGGGAGTTCAAAAGCAGGCAGTCCAGCTGGGAAAGGAGAGGAACCAATTGGGACATATGTTCTGGAAGCCTCAAGGACTCTGCCTCTCCACTCATAGAACTGTCAGATACTGTGTGAGGTAAGGGTATGGTCAGGGAGCTCGCATGAAGAATATAAGACTGAAACGTATAAAACAACTCTGAAAGAACATGGATTGAAGTATAATGCTATAGGAGTTCAAATGAGAGGGTCTGAAAGATAAGGTAGGGCTTTCTTGAGGAAGTGGGCTTTAAGGTGGCCCTTAAAGGACATGGTGGGAGGAGTTCCCTGGTGGTCTAGTGGTTAGGATTCGGCGCTTTCACTGCTGTGGCTCAGGTTCAATCCCTGGTCGGGGAAGTGAGATCCTGCAAGCCGCAGCCAAAAAAAAAAAAAAGAAAAAATAGGACATGGTAAGATTTGGGCTGGCAGAGACTCTATCTGCTAGCTCCCCTTGAAGGCACAATAACTCGCCGAAAGCAAGGGCACAAGCGAGGTTGTGAAATACTCCTTCTCTCTAGCTATGATGAAAGCACTAGGGGAACGGACGAGAGCAGCTGCCAGGGGCGTGGTGGATTGGTAACTCCCACTTCCACCCTCACAGAGCTCAGAACCCAAGCCCTCTCCTCCCCCCAAGGGTCAAGGGACCAGCCAACAGAAGAGCCTGCACCACAAGGTTAGAACTTACCAGGCTGCACAATAACAGTCACTTGAGCGGTGGCCTGCTGTCCTATTGTGTCAGTCACTGTGAGTTGGTAAGTATAGTCTCCTTCTTGCATGGAAGAGAGCTGCAGGGTCGGTGTTCTAACACCCTGGATATATAAATACAGACAAGTGGACTCCCGGAATCACATCATACAAGAAGTCCTACTCTGGTCTAAATGATTTACCCAGTTTTCTAAACCTAGGTTGGTAGTGGGCCGTTACCTCCCAATTCAACATAATTACTGAATGCTCAATCAGACACTGTGGGACATCTTGTTAAAAGTTTCACCCTTCAAGGAAATAACCCTCTGACACAGCAATAGTTTCAAATAAAGTCAGAGCTCTCACAAGGTAGACGAGTACAGGAAAATGTGCAGAGATAATCAAGATCCATTTCTACGACCCAAGCAGAAAGAAAACCATTAACATATAGTAAAATAACACAATTTACAAAACAATGTTCTTCCTACTGAAGCCACACAGCGTGATCCTAACAAAGCTGCCTCGATAAAACATGGCAGCAATGACTCAAGATGCTTTGTAATGCTGTGCGTGCCTTTACCGGTCTGTACAGATTCTGCAACAGCGGAGAAACCTAACACCTTGCAGACATTTTATTTGGCCTTAGAGTTCTTAAAAGTTGGAAAATTTCACATAGAAGTCTAGGTTTCTGGCTTGTCTTGAAAAGCTGGAGGACCTAGCAACACTGGGACGATACTCCAGCGTGGCAACAACCAGTCTGACTGGAGGGCTGCTGACCACTTTGCTCAGGGCTTACGCCCTCTGGTTTGCCACAGTCCCCATCCAGTTTTCTTCATTTACTTATGTTACCTACCTGGTGACAGATCTAGTCTCTTCTTAAATATCTCCAGAGAGAAGATGCTCACCATCTAGTCAGGCAATCTCCTCCAATTTGTAATAGTGCTCACTAAGATTTGCACCCTTCAGCAGAAACGAACACTTTTTTTTTTTTTTTTTTTTTTTT